AAAATCAAAACTGTATTTCCAATAATAATTATCTCCACTCACACTTATAGTTATTACTCGACTGCCAGGGTTTCTACCTTTCCCGACCTAAGGATTAGTCTGATTTATTCTCGCTTGCTTCAGTCTTTTTGTAATTTACTTACTACCCCTTTGGCCAGGCCCAAACCAGATAGCTGAGATTCCATTGCTAGGGGTTGGAATTAGAGGGTCATGGTCCCTATATCCAACGTTGGTGGTTAGAGCAATTGGACTGCAAGATATGTATCTATTTATCTATTTGTATATATATATTTGTGAGTGGATCCCAACCTATAGCCATAGTATGATGCATTCCGAGCCACCAGAATCACGATGAGAAAGTAAGCAACACAGAAGTGGACAAACCTTCTCCCAAAACTTGAAGAAGTTCAAAAGGCAACACCTCAGGCTCAGAATGCCAGAATCTTGTATGCTTTACTCAACCTGAGGAAACAGAACTCATCTGGTATGGAATTATGAACACTCATTTTCACACCCCAACAATGTGGGCAAGGTAAATTTCACTTGGTGCCAGAGGACATGGAACAACTGTGCTCAACAAAGGAGACAATGGACACTCTTCCATGGACAATGTACTGAACCAATATTGATCAAAAAGAAGGGAAATGTTCAACCCAACTGGATAGCCACTCCTACTGACATCTGGGAATAAACATCCAGAGACCCAGGTAAAAGGGCCCACAACTTCACCCACTTCTCCAAGATTGGAGGTAATTCACTCTAACATCCTGGAAGAAAAGCCTGTGTCTAGCACCCCAGTGACTCGAAACCAGGTGTGGTAAGGATTCCCTAGCTCCACTAGTAGAATTGGGGTGTCCTGAGAAACAGTGCAAAAGGTGAATCAAGTTTCCTAAATGTTTAACAGAAAACCAACCACGATTTATTCAATCCAATGATTGGCAAGGATGGGCAGGATCCCCTTATGCTTTACTCATGATAGTCCATGAGTGGCAGTAGAGCATAGTACAATAATACCACCCAGTCTGCCACTAAGTGGTCTTATAGAACACCTGATTTCTACTGAGCCTGTTCCAACTTAGAGAAAGTATACTGAATTAGCAGTTACTAGAGCAGAAATGATTTGATAAAAGCACACCTGCCTAGGCAACACTTGCCACAGAGTGAGATATTGTAAAATCGAGGTAAGGGACCCTGAAGGTTAAGAAGCAACAAGCAGGGCAATGAAAATACTCACCCTTCTGTATAATTTAGCGAAAGTGGTTAAGATAGCTACAGGGGGTAGACAAACACTATCCAATGAAGATACTGCCATATCAGGCAAATTACATGAGATACAAGCATTGGAGGAGGTCCACATACCAACCTGCACAATATTCTCCATTGGGAAATTCAACTGAGCTGCTAAGGACATAGAAATGTGATGAATATGATTTGCAGAAGATTCCTTGCCTTTAAAGAGAGTCCAGAATAAGCAATATGTAACAACTTCATACCCACCTTGTCCATGTAACTGGGGATGAAATCCTGGGAAAGTGAATGATCCGATTAAATAAAAAGTCAATGTTTAGCCATTTTAATAGTGTGTGTGTTTTTCTTATAGCAAAGCCACATCAGGCTATCTGCTGTTTCCACTGAAGGTAACTAATCCCCTGATTTTAACACTTTAAATCCATAGACTTATCACTCTCCCAGTGGGAGACTACTCTAAAATAATTAGTGCAGGCAACAAGACCCTCACTGGACAGAACAAACGATCAAAACCTGATTGGTCATAGAAGTGATAAATAGTGATCAGATGAATCAGTGAAAAGGATTTATCGCCTTCCATGGTTGGCAGCTTTGTTGGGAAGAAGAACCTGTCTGAGGCTGCTAACATACCAACATTGCTGGTCAAAGTGGTTTGTGGTGATTGTCCACAGGATGCTTTATCATTGTACATGTTTTTTCTGAGAAAAAACTTTATATTTTATCTATTACTTTCACTACTGTTACTCTGTATGGGATGGGTTGATTTGACCAACCTCGTAACCACCATAAAAATTATGAAATAAATATTAATTATGCTTCTTTCATTCTAGAAAGACTAAAAATTATAACATGAAACCACAAATGTTTAGTCTAAATAGCTTAAATCTCATAATATTATACATATATATAAGTATATCATTTTTATTTTACCGATCTTTCAGCAGTGGTTGACTAACACTACAGAAGTTGCAATGACATGGTGCACGTGCACTCATGTTACCATATCCAATAATGTAAAACTGGCCTTCAGTACTTTCTTTAACTATAAAAATTTACTTCCAACAGTTATCTAAAATTTACAAGATCAACAGTATTAACTTCAGGTTGTCACAAGCACATTGTCCAATAATTTTGGTAATACAACAAATGACTAACTTAAGGTTTCACCTGATCTTTGAAGATACTTTTGGAAAGTTTAAGTCATAGTTTCAGTTCACCAAAATTCACTTAGATTGCAAATAAGAAACACCTGCACTAATATCGTTTGAAGCTAGCAATGTTTCGAATAACCAGTTGAAATTTATATTTACGGAATATTTTAACATTATATGAATGAATCTACTTTATTCATTTATATTTTATGGTAAAATCTAAGAGTGGTAAGATGGTATAGCTTCAAGACTGGAAACTATCCTATTAAATAGTTCTATGTTTTTTCAAGAAGACTGATGATTAAATGAAATTACTGAGCTTTATTGAAATTCTGGTTGTATAACTGATATTCAGATAAGATAATATGTGTTCAAATAGTAATGAACAAATATTACTGGACCTTTTTTGTAAGTAATATACATTAATATTACACTTCTGAAAGAAACATGATATTTTTAGCATTCCTTTTTTGGGTGCCTTAATTTTCAATACAATGAAGGAAAAAATCTTTGCCACTAGTGCCTATTTTAGCCCACTTTTACTGGTTTGTATTTTCATAATCAATCTTTTTTCTTATATTTAGAATTTTTTTTTTAAATATTTCAATATATATAAACCACAGAATCAGTTACTATACTTGATCTATTATGAAAAAAAAGACATATATTTAGCAGGTTTTATATATAACTATTTCAAGAGAGTTCTTAGCATGAGGTTTTTAAGTTGTGACAAACAAATATATTAAAATCACAGTAATTTTTAAAATAACTTAAAAAATACATAATTTAATCTGTTCCATAGAAAGTTTCGTTATGGATTCAACCGCCTGGAGTGCAAAAGTATATTCATTAGCATGATGCCAATTCTCAAAACACTCCACTGTTATAAGAATGTTATGGCAGATTGCAGTATCATTTGACTTTTGCATTTTATACTGTATTATGTAGTACAAACACAACTTAAAATAAAAGCATGCCTAATTAGAAAAGTGCTAATTCTTGGACACTGCAACTTAAGAATATCTGTGAAACTTTTGCCATAATAAATAAAATGTTTAAACTAAATTTTCGAATATGGGGTTAGTCAAAAACCCTCTTTGCCATTGTAAAAACACTGAAGAAGTAGTAACAAAATAACCTGGTAATGACATCTTTCGTCATCTATTGCTGGCACATAAGTAGAAATCAGTGTATGTGTAGGTAGAAATTTTATTGTTGAAATAAAGATATAAAACTAGCTCAGTAAAAACAATTATTACTTTTCTTGTGACAATAACATAAAATATTCCTTTTGCAAGATTTGATTAGACAAAAATATTATATTTAACTGATATAAAACATAGCATTCAAAATTATCAAGATATATCAATATGGCTTGGCTAAGAAATAAATATTGGTGAAAATAAATTTATTGAGCATCAAAAGTATAAGAGGCCTATTCCTAAGTTCTAAACCTAAAATGATTTGTTTGTTTGTTTTATGAAGCAAAGGCACACTGGGCTACTGCTGTATCCACTGCAGAGAATCAAACCCTGGATTTTAAGTGTTGTAAGTCCATAAGCTTACCATTGCCCTGAAATAGTTTCCAAACGAAAGTGTGGTGGAGCTTGTTCTAAAGTGCCATTTACGGGTTTGGTTAAAGAACTGGTAGCTACAAGGCAAATGAGAACTAGACTCAGGAAGATCGACATTAGTAATAATTAGTTTAAAAGTTCTTTAACTTGAGTTAACTTAGGTGAAATGCTGAAAAATCCTGAATTTGATTCAAGCCCATTTACTGGACTTTGGTCTCCTACATCAAAACTACTTGGAAGTTTTTAGAACTCATGGTGATAGAAATGCTGTTAAGTTTGTTTGTTTGTAATTAAGCACAAAGCTACACAATGGGCTATCTGTGCTCTGCCCACC